CAGAAATTATATTACACTGTGCGCAAAAGCAAATTAGGGAAGTGTTTATTAAAACGAAAATAACTTACCCGCGTGACCGATTTCTTTCGCTTTGGTGGCAAAGTGTTCTCTACCGCAGAATCTGTGGTCCTCTTCGTTCGTCTTCGTTTATTGGCTTGCGTCTATAGGAGCCAAAACATGGAACTTAAAACGTGAACAATATTTGGCGGATATAAAACTTCTTCATACGTTCCTCACGTAATGTTTCACTTACCGTTTTGTTACTTCCGGAACTGCTGGTGTTACTTCCGGTACTAGCACCGGAAGGAGAGCCGGGTTTGGATAGTCTTGTTAACTTCCGGCCAGGAAGTGGTGAGTCACGTGCGGCCACTGCTAAAAGAACAGACAATCAACTTGATCAAGCAATAATGGCGACACTTGGCGAAATATCGTGGTGAGAATTTAGGTTGCAAAAGGCTGGGTAGGGTCGGGAAACTGGAAATCCAGGGTTTTTTCTGCCTGAGCAGTATCGTGCAGGAAATGGTGGTCACGTGACAGTTATCAAAGTGAGGAAATAACATTTAATTCCTTTAAGCATCATTATACACAATTGAGAGATTTGGTTTTAATTTGTTCCTCTTGTTGTGTCAATATTTTTGAGGTTGATCGTAATGCCTACTAAAACTCAATAACTGCTGCGAATTTCGGGACCCTTGTCCTATGGTATCAAACTTTCATGACTATGCTCTCTTCCATAAATGATCCCTGGACTCTGGCCCTAGACTCTCATTAGTCTAACAGCAGAATGCGCTGTCACAATTCAGGATGGTACGTCAATTATTATATCGCTTACCATCAACAGGACTGCATGCCTTTGTGCGTCCATAACGTAGACTACTTGACGTATTAGGTGTGCTTCTGCGACTGCGCAACTGTTTACCATTGATGAAGTAATCCACCTCATTCTCTTTACCCAGCATGCCTTTGAACATATGCGGCGGTGGGTCACGTGTTCCCTCTAGTTTTCTCATCACTCCGTATTTCTTGAAATATTCCAAGCAGGGCGAGCAGAGGATCAAACGTTCGTAGCCACCATGGTGCCAACTTTTTGATTTCCCTGAATAACAATGTCGACAGCAGTAGAGACTGCAAAAGAAAAGATGAAACGTCCTAAATGAATTGCTTTGTGTGAGCAAATGAATTAGTAGAATATTTTAGGAACACTTTCATTGCCACGAATGTAAAAGACTAGTCATTTGAACGTATTAAACTACAATCCAGAGCAAATGGTTGCGACACACAAGAGATTTGCATAAAACATTTGCATATCTAACAATAATAGCGGAAAAAATTGGCTTTGTTCTTTAATTTCCCCCCTTCCCCCCATTCATTGTTGTTCTCCAGTAATAGTTGTATCCCGAACAATGCATAATATAATTTGGACAACATTGAATTGGGGGTAAGGGGGGTTCGAAACAGGCAAGGACAGAATAACTTAAATGCATGAAAGTAACACAATTTGAAATAGTTGTTGCAATTCATTTTGCTCCGGATTGTAGCTTTACTTAAACTGGATCCGTTAAACTGGATCCGGATAGCTTTATCATTTCTAAATTGTTCTTTCTACAGGCAGTGTTCAACACACCAGTGTGCCCAGTAACATACCGCAATTGCTTGTTTGCGTTAATTGCTCTGCACAGAAATTATGACCGATCATTTTACCACATTGGTTTAGATAATTTCTCCCTTATTCTTTCAAAACCAAAACGCAACTCTTACAACTCTTATTACTTAGTTTGAATATACTATACAAACTACGATTCCTTTCAATTGCGTAATATTGAGGAGTTAAATTGATCAGAGGAATTGCTACAATATGTATATTGAATTTTTTATTCAAATTTAGTATGCAATTGAATTAACTGCAATGCAATGTGCTGTACAACCTTTTTTTTCTCTTTTGAGTACTATAAAAAATTAATGTGTGATCATACACGACGAAAACATGGGTTGGTCTGAGCAAGTTTTCAGAATTATAATAAACTCTGCCTATGACAGAAGTGAATGGCAAGTATTTTTTTATAAATCAGTTACCTAAAATCTTTGTCGCTGTCTTCACTATGATATTCGTCGTCTTCACTGCATGAGCTCAGTTCAACTACAAAATAAAAACATAATTTCTAAGCTTTAGTAGCTTGCATGCATACAATAGTCAAATTTACATACAATAGTCACATACAATAATTTACAAAGTGATAAAATCATCTTTATGATGGAGTAGCCTCAATCACAAGAAAAATCATAAAACACCGTTAATGATAAATAATTAGACATCATGCTTTTCACCAATTTACGATTTGGAAAATTTATAATAACCAAAAATGGTCATTCCATTTCCATGGTTTCCCCTTGGTAAATCTTTACAAACCATTCAAAACCAATTATTGGAAAATCAATTGTTTTTCTGTGAATCTTACCAAATTCGCTAGACGATGTTTTCGTGGATCGAGTAATGTTACGACGACGTAGTACGTTATGGCGTCTTCGTCGATGTGGCCTGGAACTCATTGCTGATGGAGTCTTCTTCCATATATAGTAGTACTCCACTAAATCACCCTGAAAAATGTATATTGGGATTCAGGCTTTTGGCCAGGGTCCTAAAAGAGGGCGTCCAATTTTGGTATAACGAAATATCTACAGTAAAGGAGGGGGGGGGACCTTTGAAATTTACGTTACTTCATGTCAGTATCTGTTCCAAGCTTGTTCCAAATTTTTCAAACACACTTGGCTTTGTGATCTTGTGCCGCTATGCTTCTTTTCTTAACTACGACATTTTCATTCAGCCAGGTACACCAACAAATTGGTCAAAATGTCAAATGTATAATGATAATGAGAATTGAAGCAATTTCGTTTCGGATATATTAATATACTTAGGGAAATTATTGAAAATAATTTTCCTTTCCCCCTAGAATTTGGGCGTCCAAAGGCGTCCATTTTTCGTTCTAGGGGCATCCCAGGACGCCTGGACGCCCTTCTGGCTAAAAGCCTGTTGGGATTAAGACATCAGCATCTCGGGATTATTTACTGAGGAAAGTCTGGAGCATTCCCGAGAAGAAAAGACTCCCCCCCCTGGAGTATAACCAACAAGGGATCTTGCCAGACCTCTCGATGAACTTAGTTTAAATCTTGTCCTATAGCAACACTGGATCAACGAGGTACGCCAGTAGGGACCATAAATTTAGGAAAAAATAATTATCCGGTATAAATAAGTTGCCATAGAGTATTTTAATAAAACACAAAACAATACTATTTAAATAGTTGGCTTTTCAAAATACGCGACATTCTTAAGATGACTTAAATTACACTGTAATAGTCGAAACGTAAAGAATGAAAACGTTTACAGTTTTCGGAATGTCTTTTGTTTTGTGCTTTATAAATAAGTTAGTTTATCATGATTATAAATATATAAAACAACTCGGTATATGTTTACCGTTTCTTTCTCTGGCAATAATTCTTTTCTGATCTTATAGAAATTCTTCCCAAATTGTCGCAAGCCTTTCACAAACTTTTTCTACATAAATCCAAAATAAACACCTCACATAAGATTTGCAAATGGGAAAAAATGTTCCGGTATTCGTACGCAGATTTTAATGAAAAGGTACAACATACATTGTCGTCTTCGGTCCAGTTCATTCTCGAGGTTTTTGGAAAAGGACGTTTGACCAGAGACTGCAATGCACGGTCGGTGTCGTATTTGCTTTTGTGAAGCTAGAAGATTCAGATTTTGTGTTAATGAAGGTGATTAGATGTGACGAACTTTATTTAGATACATTTACTGATAAAATGGGCAATTCTTCTTTTCAAGGGTGACGCGAATCATTCCGAATAATGATAATGGTGACACGTGATGATGGTGGCGTTGATAATGATAGTCGCCATAATGGTACTCATGATGATGCTGAAGGAGTTAGAGTAGTGGTAGTTCTGCTAAGGCCCCCCCCCCAAAAAAAAAAAAATATGTGGGTTTCCTATCTATATATGTGGGTTTCCTATTTTCCTAAAACCGAACGCCATTTTGTTTAGCAGTGCTTCCACATTCAAAGATAAATTTCCCTAATATTGCCTCAAATTTCCATTTTTCACAAACATTTTCCTCTAAGTGGAAACACTTACAAGCACGATCCAATAAAAAAGTTTAGGGTCGGGATTTCGGCGTTTCCTAATTAAAATGGTGATGGTATAACGATGGAAGCAAGCTATCGAACACTTACAACTTGGAGAGCATTAATAGTTGTTGCATCCCGAGCAGCAGCAATCAGACCTTTATTAGTATCTCCTTCCTTACAAATCCCAGCATACTGAGCCATACTTCTACAACGATCAGAAAAACAGGCTACCTTTAATACCTTATCTAAAACAATAATACTGTATAGAGAGCACAAGATTTTTTATTTCTTCTCATTTTTACCTGGCTGCCCTAATAAACATCTTCAAGTCGCAGTCGTCGAGTGTGGGTTTCCACGTCTGAGAACGAGAAGAAAATACAATGTATTGTAATTGTTCAGCGTGCGATAATTCGCGTACATATCTACTGGAGGTACGCAAATATTACGCAGAATAATCATTGGAGTACCCGTAAGGGACGACTAAAAATCTTGAAATATCGCACCCTGTTTTTGGTACACGTCTCACACGACTATATCATATTGTATTACTATATTTTATTATAATACTGTATTGCATTTGTTCTTACCAAATCCTCCATCGAAGGCTCTTGAGCAAGCTCATCGGCAGCTAAAGATTTAGGTTTGCATTCGGGCAGTAGCACCTGCAAATATGAATGTAAGTTGTTTAAAGAGAAGGAAAATAAACAAAATGATTGACAAACGAAAGAAAAAGGGCAGGGAAAGGCAAGTAACTACACTTGTAGAAAAGAAGGGATGAACGAGGAATGAAGAAAAGAGAAGTAAAAAGTTCATGGCTGCAGACATTAGGAGCATGGAGCGATGCTATCTCCATACTACAATGGGCTAATACCAAATTCAAAACTTAGTTCAATGAAGCGTCTCAAATGAATTAGTCACAGGTCAACTACAAAAATCATCTGAAGACAATAGAGCTAACCTTTCTAAACTCAAAGTTACTAAATACAAACAACTCCAAAAATCATGTACAGCTAGCTTTCTAAACCCGTTGTTACTGGCAAGCAACTGCAAATCATGTAGAACTAGCTTTCTCAGTATGGAGTTACTGGCTAACCAATGCAAAAATTATGTGGACTCAGTTATCTAAGCCTGGAGTTAATGACTCCGCCGGCAATGACTAAGCTCGATTACACGAGATCTCAAGGCATGGTGGGAATACAAAAAAATATGAATCTATATAAAATTCAAAGATACCTGATGACTAGGACCAACTCTGATCTCACCCTTGTGGTTGGCAAGACGTCTTTAAAAATACATAAAAACACTGGTTTATTTTCATATTCTATTTCTTGATATTATATTTATATTATATTTTTTTATTACAATTAACTATCAATGATGAGACACCTGTATCTGTTTCACAATCTTCGACTTACCTCGTTTCAGGATTGTACCGAAGAACGAAAAAGAAGTGATCATTCTGAGAAATAAACTCTTTCAAACTGGAAACATCCGATAGACATTTCACTCGACATTTTCCTCTGCAAATAAAACAAAACATTTGAAAACTTTGATTTCTCATACTAAAATAATTTTACGGCAAATCGCCTTTTTAAATTTCCGTCAGATGCCTGACCAAATTCCAACTGATTATTACATTTATACAAAGTCCAGTTATCATTATTAGTTAGCCAATAACCAACCTGAGTGCATTGACTGAATACGTATCTACAGCATCTGACACGAACAGTTCGCGCTCTTTCACGGAAGGATCCTCCAGGATATGGTCACGTGAGCCTAAGAAACAGAAGACTATTACTCCTACTTCGAAGGTGGGGTATCGGATTTTATTTCAAGTCCGAAAATAGATTTCAGTTTAGTCATCAGTTATTCAGTTACATGAACTTGATACGAAAGCTGCGGTGCAGAGTGACTGCGGTCTGCGGACATTCTTGTCACATGCGACTAAGGTAAAATTATAAACAGACAACTGGATGCATACTGCTGCATTGTTCTGGAAGCCAGCACATGGCCTAACTGGTAACTTGTCTTCCCGTAACTGGGCGAAATAATGTGGGATCAGCCACTATTTTAGGGAGTTCAAACCAATTCAACGTAGATATAGTCTATTCCATACTTTCGGATTTCCTAATTTATTGGAGCTGTAAAATTTTCTAAGTATAATCCTGGGTTGGGGGCTAATTTTTTTCAGTGGTTTTGGACTGAGGCCCAATTAGCAGGTGGGCTATAAAATAGAGGAAATACTGTAGTTCTCAATTTCGAAGTTAAAATAAATAATTTGTCACAGCTGGGGTTGGCACTAAAAATAATGGCTCGATCAAATTCCATGAACAAATATTACAGCAATGTTGACAAGGTCAGGCACACAGTTGCATGGAAAATACCCTTCTGACTTCTCGCATGGAAACTGACGTAAAATTCACTGGCGTTGCATATTGCAGGAAACGAAGGAAACTATAGAGGTAAAATGCGCATGCATAAGTGCTAAAATTAATATCTGGATGACTTGATTCAGTTCCATGAGGAAAATATTGCAGTAATGTTAACAAGGTCAAACACATGCTGGCGTGTTGATGAAATAGATAAACGACGCGTGATGTACATGAACATGCAACCATCTTGTATCACAATTTAAGCTGTTGACACGATCTGTCAGGGTGGCAAACCACACACACGTGTTAAGAGGCTATCAAAGGCTGCAGGTCATGGATAGGTCAAACTTGTGATCTGAAAATTGATCAATTTAATGTATACCACCATGATCCTCTTAGGGTGTGAACATCGCCGTACTTATAATTATGTACTATTGTGTTGTATACTTCTTGTTGTAACAGGTAGTTTTATTTAAAGTAAATGAACTCTTTATTTATCACACATTGGTTAGTGCATGTGGCTTTCGCCTTTGGCTCTGCAACCGGGATTCCTGCAATATTCAGTCGACTGATTGTTATTTTACCTCAGTCAACGTGAGAAGAGTATTTGCAGTTCGACTCGGCATAGTACAAAACATGGACTGGACCCATGGACTGGACCTAAAATTGGACTCAAAATTGGACCCAAAATTGGACTCAAAATTTTAGCCAAAATTTTGCCCAAAAATCCATTATTTTTTCGGAGAGAAACAACCCTCAGAATATCGTACTTAATTGATTTAATTTGTATAGGCAAAAAACTTCACGTTCCATCACTTTTTCTTGACCTATCTAGCTATTTGTCTTCCAAAATTCTATATTCTATTTTCTAAACGTTATCTAGGGTATCTCGTAAATAATAAACCTTTGTGAAATATCTTTGCGCAATGGTCACAAATACATCACATCGATATAAATCATTCCATCAATATATACATCAATATATAGTTATTTTAATTATATACATTTTGTGTCTGTATAATACACCCTCTATATATCCCGGCATATATATCCTCTAACGAGTAACGAGTTCGCAAAGTTTGTTTTGTCCATATATTCTAATATTTATCGCAACTAGCTATATGTGGGCTTATCATTATGCATTATTCTATTTTATTATCATAAAATAGAATATAGAATTTTGGAAGACAAATAGCTAGATAGATCAAGGAAAAGTGATGGAACCTGAAGTTTTTTGCCTATACAAATTAAATAAAAAATTTTGCCTAAAATTTTGAGTCCAATTTTGGGTCCAGTCCATGTTTTGTACTATGCCGTTCGACTCTTCCTAACACCACATGTCGTCTCTCGGGGTGCTCTGGCTTCCTGCTGTAGTATAAACACTGATGCAATAAGAAACCAAACAAAGTACTACCACAGAATAGGAAGGTATAGCAGAAGTGTAACTCAAGCAAGTATTTGTCCGCGTTTTTACAAGCAATTCGTCATCAATCACGCCATCCTGGCCAGTACAACCGGCACTTTGTACCTACAAAACCTGATAAAAACTTCCGGTTGTACTAGCCAGGATGGCGTGAGATTGCGTGAGCGAGTTAAAATTTTCGTGGACGTAAAACAATAAAGGAACCGACTCAAGTTACACTTCTGCTGTACCTTTCTATTCTGTGGTACTACAGTGTGATGCCCTAGACTCCTCTGAGCACGCACAAAACAAGTAAAGCGCGAAAATACACTATTTCTGAATAAATACAAAGGCTTATGATACTATGACCAGACAAAGTGACAAACTATAAGAGACTAACAACAAACTCTCGCAGCGAATATAAAGCGATGACTAACTTCGTTTGGGAACTGCAATTATCCATATTGGACCTCAGTTTAGAAATGATAGAGCTATACCTCGAGCTATACTGTATAAATTTAAGCCTGTCTTTTACTTTATTTCACCACTATTCATTATTAAAGATGAAGTAAATCTTTTACTATCCCAAGTAAATGGCAACAGTCATGCATTGCGTGACTTAATTATGAATATTTAAACTTTTAAAGACAAGGCGAAAGACGATATTGGGTTAAGAATTTAAGAACAAAGAACACAACACTCTTTTCCTCCTTTATAACAGTATATCCAATATCAAATATCATCAACAAACACATTACGAGTAACATAATAGTCGGTAACATTCGCCGATGTCGATTCTGCGACAGTCGGTGAGCATCGCTGGCGGCTTTTATATGACAAATGAAAACCGCCCATCGTAATTCATCCGCGACGACTGTCGCGAAAAGTCGTGAGGAATGAAAATTGTTTAGTTCCGACAGTTGGCGGTAGTCGCATGCAGAAACTCTACGATAATGAAACAAATGAAAAGGCTGTTCGCGACTAATTGGGGAGAAAACATTTCAGATTTTTTTCCAACCTCGAAAACATTGTTACAGAAATAAAACTTCCTTTACGAAAGCACAACGTTTGTGTTTGTGTTTAAAATAGAGAAAATCAGATTTGACTTCCGCTACCATTAAGGGACAATTAACCAATCAGATGCGTTTGGTATATCTGATTAACCAATCAGATGCGTTTGATATATCTGATTAACCAATCAGATGCGTTTGATATATCTGATTAACCAATCAGATGCGTCTGATTAGTTAATCAGATCTGAACCTCTCTAATAGTATAACCCAGACAACTATTTTAAATAGAGACATTAATATAACAATTTAGTAATAGCAATCATATCAATATGAAAGCGTACAATAGTCGATATTCAATGTGCAATTATGCGTTGTACAAAGTATAACTTCACATTGCTCCAAAGATGTTGTGAGAAGCAACGAAACGTAGGCCTAAGTAAATTTCATATAAAACTAAAATGTTTATGGCTCTTTTTAAAATAGCTGTCTGAGCTATTACACTTTCAACAGAATTTCAATTATATTTGAATATAAATGGATGCCAAAGGCATGGTTGGTAAATGAGCAATTTGCTTAAAAATAATTAACTCTACACTGGCGGATGTTTCGGACATAAAACAATAGGAAACATTGCTTGCCCATAATTACAGAGTTACTTACCATTCTCAGTATTTCGATCTTGCACGAGAAGTTGATAAACAGATTCCGGGACTTCTGAAGGTCGATAGAACCATTTCACACCAACATAAACACACTCTCGCTTGCACTAAACAAACACAATCCTACAGCTTAGAACACTGTCATTGATTAATCTGCTCAACACCCCCTTTGGGACAAAACCCGAACCTTACTAAATTAATTAATGAATTAAATCAATCAATCTATCAATCAATTGGAGAATAATTTAATTAACTGATATATTACGATAATTATTGGACCCAGTTCGAATCCGGTAAACAAAATACTTGTGATTATTTTTTGAAATGTCATGATTTGATTGCAGAAGTTTAATTAATATTTTCCGCATGGTGTTGTATTTTTCATGTTTTTTGAGAAGGGTTATCAAAATCATAGAAAACGAACATTTTTTAGCATTAACTTTACTATTGCAAAAAGAGTTGGTATTACGGCTTTATACGACAGCTACTGAGTACTGGACAGTATTAAACCTTGAGAGTCGCCAGTGGTCGATATTGGTAGCCTCTTGATTTGTTGCGCCGCACAAATGAGTGTGATAAGGGGTGAGGGACCGAGTCTGTCTTTCGTTTGGATGGGGGAGAGCTCATAAAAACATGAAAACGTGTAAAAATAACAGGAAACGGAATTTATTTGTTTAATTAAACTATAAATAGAAGTAAAAAACCCCACAACGACATTCGTGGACGTTTCCATTATTTGAGACGTCAATTGAGAAATATAAACGTCATTTGAGGTAATTCACGATGCATCAATGACCAATAGAGCAAATAATATAAAACAACATACGTCATTGGCTTTTGATTAATGTTCGAGAGATGTGATTGGTTTACAAATATCATACTGCGCAACAGTATTAATCTGCTGTTTGATTCTGTGGTCTTAATTTGCTTGTTTGGTTTGTTTCTTATCAAAATGGCGCGCTCCAAATATTACTGCATGTCGGCATTAGACAGAGTAACCAAATTGAATATATAGACTATAGTATAATCGCTCAGACTTAGAAAATATTGCGATCCTGAATCCCGAGGAACATGCTTTAGCAAAGAAGATTGAGGAACATTTTCAACTTTTCACACGAGCGTTATGGGAGAATCTTGAGAAATCATTATATCATACTTCCTTATATAGCTTATCTTGTCATTTGAGACATGTAACATAAATGCAGTCAAGTGCACTTTGTTGTTGCTTACATATTAATGGCGTAAAGTACGGTCAAATTTCCATTGCTTTTATGCACTTTTGAGAAACATTTGAAAAATGCAAATTCAGGAATCAGGATCCGAGCAACACTCTTTTCTATTGGGGCGAATTGTGTGTTAACGTACAAGTTTATTAAACCCAAATAATTTTCAACCTATATATATATATATATATATATATATATATATATATATATATATATATATATATATATATATATACACACACTGTAGTAACTCGTCCCTTCAAGTAATAAGGCGCCGTTTTCACTACACTGTCTGTGTATGCACGAAGCAGTGGTTTCCCGTTTTTCAGTGTCGAGTGATGTTTAAAACATAAATATTTCCGTTATTTTGGAGACGGAAACGCGCGTCAAGTAATCCATAACATGACAAATCAAATACCTGTTCAGGTAAATGCGACAGGCGACATTGTGTTAAAATGGCGACATACAAACACTAAGATAGCGACATACGACATAGAATATGTCCAAATTACGAAGTCAGAACGCGACATGGCAACATTGCGACATACTACCTTCTAGTGTTGAAAATTGGATGCGCGATTAAAATCAGATAATGAAGATAATAATTCGGGATTTGACTACACGGCATTTATAATATCCATGATTAGATGGAATTAGATGTTATCAACACCATATTACAAATACTCTTGAGCGTTTTATTTCCAACACAAAATTGTTTGTTACAGAAATACTAACCCATTTGCCCGAATTCAAGAAACGATCGGACTTTATTTAATTTACAAAACAATTACATAAGTAAGCGTGTTATGTAATTTTAGCGAGTCATGATGACCGAGGGGCATTTCACTCCAAAAATCCCGTACACTTCGTCAAAAAATCCGGAAAAAATCCGAACAAATCCGGAAAATCCAACAGATTTTCTCTTCAAAAATCCGGGAAAAATCCGCTAAATCCGCTAAAAAATCCGCGGATTTTAAAAATCCGAAAATCCCGTACGCTTCGTAAAAAAATCCGGAACAAATCCGAACAAATCCGGAAAATCCAAACAAATCCGGAAAATCCAACTGATTTTCTCTTCAAAAATCCGCTAAAAAATCCGGGAAAAATCCGCTAAAAAATCCGCGGATTGTTAAAAATCCGAAAATCTCGTACGCTTTTTTGGAGTGAAATGCCCCTCGATGATGACAAATGTCATGACATGACATATGCCGATATGGCGTATGCGGTATGAATGCGGCATGTCTTTTTGAGAGCACAAAAAGGTTCATTTCGAGTGTATTATGTCTCGTATTTAATAGTAAGATTATAAAAAAGTCGTATGCTTTTTTTCTTGTTATGACATAGGAATCCCAATAAATATAGTTGTAACAAATAAAAAGCGTTAAATTTGTCTAATTTTGAATAAATTTGCATTGTATTACCGTGCTTTGACTGTTTTCAATCTTGCGCAGTTGCGCTGTGAATTCAGTGACGTAAGTAAATCGCGTATACGAAGCATAAGTTATAGTTATTGAGTTATAGTTATTAACAGAATATACTCAATAACTATAACTTTACATGCTTCGTATGCGCGATTTACTTACGTCACTGAATTCACAGCTCAAAATTGAAAACAGTCAAAGCACGGTAATATACAATGCAAATTTATTCAAAATTAGACAAATTTAACGCTTTTTATTTGTTACAACTATATTTATTGGGATTCCTATGGTTATGAGAGCAAGTTTCAACTTTCAAAAAATAAAAATTATAGAAGGAAAATGGTCAACAACAGGAAACACAAAGTAAAAAATAGTGATTAGTGTTTTTTATAATAATAACATATTGTGTTATTTAATTTATCGTATTATAAATAATTGTATCGTTCATTGGCACAGGTAAAGTTGTTGATTGAATGCTAAATAAATGCTAAACATTGACATTGTGTTTCCAGAGACATTGTACTGTAGACTGGTTTTTCTGTTTTCAATTACAATCGCCATGTAAACCTAGAATACATTCTATAGAAAAAACTTATCAAGCAAAAGTTGCTCTTTAAAATGGCAATTGAAGGCTTTATTTAATAGACGTACTTAAATCTTGAAAGATATATCAAGATTTCTGTAGACTGTTACAAAATTGAGAACAATTTGTTATTTGACGAATGATGATTACCATAGGCATAGACTAGAAAGAGCGAGAAAAGATCTGGCTAAAATCATAACTTACAAAAACACATATCCTTCGAATTCAATAACGTACTGTGCTGCATAACCTGTATTTTGAATAGTTCTTTATTAATGGTTAGCATTTGAAGAATATTAAAGGCACAACAAGTGTTTGTTCACGATCGCAAAGATACCACTAAAGGTCAATAGATCACCCATCTCTGATTGATATCTTAACACCAATTTGATATGTGTAGCTTAGTATAGATATCACGCTGTGATCAATCCATGCAAAGCATTTACTGATTAAAAATACCCCCTCATTCCAAAATATTCTACTGAATACTCTTGCTACTTTATTTTTATTCTTTAGAAAGTAGAAAGACAATTTGTGCCACTAAAATTTCATCGAAACTCGGGAAGGAATAAACAGTCGATACAAAGCAATTGAACACGCAAAAATTATCCAGAATTGTCTTTTTTACAAATACAATTTTAGAGAACACTTTTGTTACTTTAGAACGGATGGCTTTTTAAAAACATTTGTTCAATGCATGTGATATGATGTACAAACGCTTTCTTCATCAAAAATATTCTAGCAAACAATTTGCTACTTTAGTCTTTAATATCTTCTTTAGAATAGAAAGCCATTTAAAAATAAAAGAAATGTATATAAAACAATCGTTCCTTTTTACAAAAATATTCTTGGGAACATTTTGTTAAAGGAAATCATTAGAAAAGAATGTTCGACAAAAATGGAACTATTTCATCAAGCGAATGTAAATTACAAGTCATAATGTGTAGGAACGGATATGGATATAGTAGCCAAGGCCCAAGTAGGTATATATACAGTATAATAATGTAATCCGGTTTCGATTGCAAAAAAGCGAGGAAAACCTACCATTTTGAGTTCCTTGATAGCGCAAATGAAGAAAGGGACATCTGGTCTCTGGCTATCAATATAGACACAATCTAAACAAAGAGACAACACGATTATAATGAAAAACACTTGAAAATTACCTTCGGTTTTAGTTCACTTTTCCTGTATATTGTTAGAAGACTTAGAAGGTTTCAGTATATAGCGTTTGCCATCATCATTTACTGCATGTTAAAGTGCATAGCTGAAATCAATATCTTCTTTTATATTATTTAAGTTTCACTCAGTTAGTCTCAGAAAGTGAAAGAAATATAACCAAATGAAACCGTTACAGGCAGAAACAATTTAATTACATAAAAAGCAATTTATTACACTATTTTTTTACTTTTGTCACTGTTTCTCCCCCATTTTTAATAGAAACAGTTTTTCAGCGCAGAATAGAAACTTGCAATGACAAAAGTGGAAAAACAATGCCCTTTTTCATACCGCAAAACTATCATTATCATTTATATGATCTATTAAGGATAGTTTTAAACACTAAATGCTTTCAAAACGGAAAATTCAAGCCCGAATAATGCCTATATTGCAGCAAAAATTGTTGACATTTGAAAAACATTTTTATAGGAAATTAAAATGCGACAACATTTTGTGTCCTTCAAAAGATTAAAAATTACAATATTAATAAAGTATTACTCGATTGTTTAACTTTTTAAGCTGTTTTGCATATAAAAATATACCGCATTCTAGACTCTAAAAAGTGCTTTATATTACATTTAAAAGTGCAAAAATCGGCGTTTGCCTTACTGCAACACGAAAGGGCATGCGAAAATATTGACAAGTGCTTGTCAGTAAAGAATGCGAGGCCAGACAAAAAGCTTATATTGCTTTTGAATTAAACAGCATGCTCGCTTATCATTTAACATAGTAATTTTCTCCCTATTGTTAGGAATTGTTTAACCATTGTGGCGAAAATAATACAACGAAAACACTATAAGCCTCGAATATACAATACCTAAATAGCAAGCAAAGCAACATACAAATTTCAACATTTCCTAAGGTTTTGAAAGGCGAAACCCTGAGTCTGTCGGTGCGAGGGATTAATTATAAGTAATTACAATAATAAGACAAACAATTTACGGTCGAAAACCAAAAAACCCTCAAAGCCAAATATATTAAACCGTTGTATTCGCTAACGTTTATACGATGTTAAACCCTTACCGTCTAATTCATAAACTGTACCGTCATCTGCTTCGTAAGTTGTAATAATTTCCTGAGTGTTCGACCCTTTGCTGTCCGTGCTGTTTATAGTTTTCATCCCCTGTCGTTTGACTTGACATTTTTCGTCGCGTTTCCCCTTCGTTTCTGCGGGAACACCGGTAAGCATATTGCCATTTTTGTCAACCAAGTTCGCCTCATTTGCCTTCCCACGAGTCGACTTACTTCCTCCATTCTTCGCTTTGCCATCTCCGCTCGGCTTTTTCACGACCATTTTCCAATCCCATACACGCGTCAAATTTCTCGCTTTATCGCCTTATCACACGTCTTTCCGCGAGCCACAAACCTTTACCCTCTAAAATTACATTAAACTCAACCTCAGTTTAGCGAAAACGCGATATTATCTTACGGAAAGTCGAGAAATCAAACTCCTAGTGTAAAATAGACCCTAGCCGAAATGCCCTTTTAACACACAAGAGCAGATAAAAAGCTCTTTGAAATCGCTTCTCAGCACGACACGATATAATTCACGAGTCATGTGTAATTTATATACGACAATTAACACTAACAATACGAATTTTTCAAAAGACTGCCAGAAATACCCCTACCTAAACGCATTAACCTTTTCTCAAACACATCGTTCAAATCCAATCACTTTCCCCAGATTTTAAAAGACCGAACTTTTCACCGCAGATTTGTAACGATATCTTGACCCGCTTCGGTGAACAGCATTGCGGACTTAAGCTCTCAAAAGTGGAATATTTTATACAATTGAATGTAAACTTCCTTATATAAAAGCCCTTTGGCATTTGATACCCGATACTTTGTTGGCGTGCTAGGAATACAGTATATTATACAATACACGAAAGTTTGAACCGTATAGTTTTTCCAGTATTTGTCGTTGGAGTCATAACACACGTTTCTAAGCTATTGTTTCGATTGAAAGGAGTGCACACTCAAAGCTGGAAATAAAAATAGACCGCCCATTGCCATACGGCTTTGTTATGCTTTCAAATTCCCTAATACGCTGTGAATGTACACAGAGAAACAGTTAAAAACTTAAAATTGCATGCTGCAGCGTTGTGGCGTGTAGTCGCTTCCCACGAAAATTCCCCGTGTGTTTAAAATACAATGTGGTTGCACCGGTAATAATGCTGTTTAGAAAATTAAAAAATTCAACAGATTAAGTAAAGCACACGAAGTTTAGTAGACGTGAAATTCGTGTAAATAAAGAATGAAATTCACAACCTTGTCGATTTCACGTCACCACTAGACATCACGAAATCGCACAAATTCGCACTACGTTACCTTAAATGACCACTGAAAATCCGTCCCTTACATAAACCATAACTGTGTTTTGAAAATACTATTTGTTTCCGCCGATTACTTGCATAATTGAGCAGATATAAGCGGCCAAAATTCGGATATATTGCAATGAAAAAGTTCGTAGGAAGCCTTGCAAATGCAAGATCCCGGCTGCTTGTCGTTCGAAATAAAATTCCTAAAAATCATTAACCAATAGGACGCGAGGAAACCGTTCAATGCAGCGCTGGGATTTTAAACATTACCGCATGTATATTTCGCCAAAACATTTACTACCGATCATTATAAATGGTTGATTGCATTTATATGAGCTCTAAATATACAGGTTTAGCGAGATACGGTTTATGAATTGCTTTCGTATGATGAATATATATTCATACGAATACATAAGCTTAAAATACAGACCTTTAATACATAGCAAATTTCACAGCAAATCCAATGTGTGTTTTTCTTTTCTCCGAGCGTTCAACGGCGGATTATGAGTGCTAATGTGCAAGACAGCTGGCTGCAAATTTCAACAAGCATGACCGATTCTGATTGGCTCAAAACAGCGCCATACAGGTGTTGAATAACACTTTAAACGGTCTCCGCCAATCACAGCGCGTGGCTAGAATTGCTAAACACACGGTGTTTTCTTTGTTCATGGATTGTGTGTTCGTAAGTGGCTGTCAATTGCGTGTCTGTTTTTTAAAAGAGACAGTTATTTGCAAGATTCGGGGTCGTGAAATATAACCCTATAACCTTCTAGATAAACTGAGCCACGTTTTTGGGCAAACCAACACGTGTAGCGGTCTAGATAAGGACTACAGTTCAAAGATGAAAAGTTTCCCTGTATGTGTACTGTGTTTATATAATAGAAGGAAGATCGGCCAATATAATTATATACATAATCATCTCGAGTACACATCCATCAATGTTATCGCGCATTATATTGATATTGAAGGCTTGGCAAGGGTTTAGGAAATATTTGAACAGGTTTCATTTAGACTTAGAGTCGTCTTAGACTTGGTGCTTTGGTTCATGCCATCCAGCCCATGGGAGTGCCAAAGTGTATCAATGGTGTATCTATCTGGCTTTTTACACTATCGAAGTAAAATTTAATCCAAATATTTATACTTGACCAAAGACACAAAGTGTGTGACAAATGTCAAAGGCTAGTTCTACACTGTCGAAGTCAAAGGATATCAATTCACGGAACTGGGTTTTGCAAAGTTCGACGAGGCCACTCTGATTACAGAATCGAAATGTTTATTATCATAGTACAAAGACTCAATTTAATTATTTCTTATCAACATTCGATTACTTTTATTAAGTTCGGCTTATGTGTAATCCATCGCAAAGCACACGATTGAGAAAATACTCAGAATAGAACATCGGAATAGAACCATACCTCAGTGCCATACTTGCAAGACCGTGATGCATCGCGATTACAGAGGGCGTCGTTTTTGTTAAAAAGTTCGATTATTGTCGAGCCCAATAACAATTAAACCCGCCCACACGAGCATTCAATTTCTGTGACAATTTTTACAGTATTTGCTTGACGAGTACATGAGAGAATTTGCCCAGATTTCATGTGGCAAATGTCATTGGCAGTTTTTGGCAATTTGTCATTTGCGAATGACCAGCTCGTCACAGAAAACCTGCAATGTAAGACTTAGCGCCCTCGCTTTGTTTTTGGCTTTGTTTTTGTGTTAGTTGCCGAGTTACCACTATTCAAAGCTACTTGTGGGCTGTGGCGCAAAAACCCGTCTCATCCAAACGAGAAATACAGTAAATTTGTCGGGAAAATTGCGACAGACAATTTGCTCATGTGGACGAGTCTTGATACTATTTATTAATTTATACTACCTAAATACTTCATTTTAATCTATAATTTGATTCGAGATTCGATATGATGTGCAATCTTAATTTAAAATTCTAGTTCAGCACATTCTTTCTAGGAAAAATCCAAGTGAACGGTTAAGATTTAAGGAAATATTGCCTAAATTGAAGGGTAACGTGGTTTTCAGTAAACGTACAGGAAAGCAGATGTATATACTGCATGGTCTACATATACATATAATGAAAAGAATTAACACCATTTTCTCACTCTGAAACTGTGGGTTGACCAGCATCTGTTGCACAATAACAAAAATTCGTCTGGAAACTCAACACTAAAATGCGCTCTAAATTACAACAGTAGCCGATCAATGTGATAAGGAACAGCCCCTCCCAACGCGCCTATTTAGCAATTCATAAACCGATACGTATGATGACATACAATTGTGTCAACAATACAATCATAGACGTACATTTTGCGGTTATTTTGTGACAAACTTTCTGCCAAATGCGGCCGCCGCAAATCTTAAACAAAAACGCCCGTTTTATGTCACTTTAAACGCAAAACAAAAATAAACCAAAACTCCAAACTAAATATGAACTACACATATAAACTAAGCATAACTAAGTTGGATCGTGACCGTGGGAATGAACACATTGATGAAACTTCTATGTTTTATATATATATATATATATATATATATATATATATATATATATATATATATATATATATATATATATATATATATATATATATATATATATATATATATTCTATATCGAAGTTATATAGACTTTTTATAAAACATAGAAGCATCCTGTGCACTCAAGATTGTGCATGAGTAATAAACATCATGATATTTCCGGATTTTATTCAAAATCATTATCATCAAATATACTATAATAATTACAAAGAATAATTACAAAATTATTTTGAAACGCAATACTATCACCGTGTCCGTGTATGTTGTTGTCTTGTTGATATTAACTGAACTCTTGAGAACACAGGAACTTTTTGTTCCGAGTATTTTTTTTTTAGATTTCTTTATAAAATATCGGCTGTATTTGATATATTTAATATATTGTACTCTATAGCATTTTCACTTTCTGTACAAGTATTCTTTTTATATATTCTTCACATCAAAGAAGATAGCTTTGCCGAACTATTCATTGATACAAAATAATGCTTCTGTTTCTTTACTTTGTTATATATATATATATAAAGAAATAACGGATGCGATTTCCGACATTTCACAAGTGTCACCGCATTGAATTTCACGGTTTAATTTCGAAATAAATTCATTAACGTAACATACGTATTGCTTGTTCGACGTATATTTTATTGCACTGTACACACAAATATTAGATTATAACAAGTTTAGATTCATATAAAACCCCGCGGTAGAACTGACCCTGACATTTAACCGCAGAATTCCTTGGAATAAATATAGCAAACTATTTACATTCCAAACGCAAATTAGAATTATTACAAAGAAGCCATTTAAGTGCAGCAGAGAATATTCTATAAAATGTCAGACAAAATGTCTCTATTAAAATATACGAACGCGTTTGTAGAGAAAAATAAAAGGCAAATTTCTTTCTTCAAATATGTTACTAATTAATTTGAGGTGACATGGTCAAATTCAATAAAACCGCTAAAAGCTAAGCGCTTTAAAATTCTTCCGGGCTGAAAAAATTCGATGGAATTGTACGATGAAATTCTAAAACATTCGAATGCTTTATACAATTAGATAAATTGGGCTTTTGAGTGGGTACTTTTAGGGGGACAACATATAATCATAGTCTCCTTTTGTTCGGAAACCTGTCTAATAAACGAAGGACAAAGCGCAGACAGATATGGCAAAGTGGCTTTAAAAAGTCAGGAAGGCAAATTTTCCTGACAGGTTAGAAAGAACTTATCCCTTATTCATAATGGTTAATAAAATTATTTATATCGCTAGATAGCTTAGTGAATAGTCCTCAATAGCAAAACAGTAGCATAGCACAGCGTGTTGTGATTTGATCTGTAATAGATAAGGCGCTAAGCGTATTTATATCCTCTGACACAAAACATGCCCACTTGAATGTAGTGTTTTTACATGAAAGCGGACACGAATTCGGGTTTATGCCTGACACTATATTGTATTAACCTTGTGTACAGTAAATCGTTTAGATTTGCGAGAGTCTAAGACATAACATAAATTCCACGTTAAAGCTCTTTAATTACAAGACATTAGGGTTTATTATCTTTACATAAAAGAGACTTGGCAGGGAATCGCACACACATATTCAGACACGGAACAAAAACATCAAAAAGCACAATTTTACAACTGCCTTACAAACCTGTTACATTCCCTTAACATTGAGCGCGCTTTGGTACCAATATTACAAGCAGAACAGCTCGCTTTCATACAATTTATCTCGGTACAAAATACGCGTCATGTTAATCATTTATTTAAACAATTGCAAGTGCCAACCCACAGTAAACGTGTTATAAACAGACGGGATTGAAATGGCTTAAAGATCGAGTGAAAAGCAAATCTATATAGATCATATTAAAGGAAACATCGATTGTGTACAGTTACTCAAAACATCCTAATACGAACCTCTGTCGATTTCTGCTCAAAAGTATACTTTGACTTAAGGTACATTAGTATTAATAATCACGCTATCACTTGTAACCAATTCAAAATCTATCACATACCTTAGACTTAGCCTTCCACCAGTAACCAGAGTGGATTTGTGTCGCTATAGAATCTTTTACCTCTGTCTGTTTTACAAATACTCTTCGCTGCTATCTCGCTTTGAGGACGAGATATCGCACAGTGCCAATACAATATCTTGTATTTGAAATATTAGCCTTCTCTATTTGTCCCCTGGGAGGCATTAAACACCGGAAGTGGGCCGTCAACACCGTATAGAAATCAGAATAAATATTATCCCGGTTTTAATGGCATAAACCCACAACCCAAAATTGAGATTCTAGCCTAAAACATCCACATACAGATCATAACGTACATTGTGGTACCATAAACGAGTTAGTTTTGGCCAATTACACCACGCTGGGCTGTATCATTTGTTATTAAAAGATCACGGGGTTATATTACTACAGTTGTCCGACAATAAACAATTAACCGGAAAAGTTTATTCTTCGATTACTCATGAGACTTCAAAAGTGCTCGAATGACAAAGAGTGATTATTTCATATGTTCCCACAGGAATTGTATTTTCGATTAAAAATAGTAAAAACAAGCTGTTCATAGGCTTCTGAAAGTCGAGGTGAAAGTATACAAAGCTAGTATTTTTGACATGAAAAACAGAATGCGCGTCTAGACTGTTTTTTAAGACGGATCTCGTATGATAAACACAGTATGAAAATGTAAATAAGTTGACTGTTTGAATATAATCATATAAAGATCTTTTACATGTACTTTAGACTTTCAAGTAATACATTTCTTGTAGGTTTATATGAGATAATAAGCATAAATCATTTGTGGAAAATAACGGTTCTTTCAGCCGTACCGCAAGTATGGTCTGTGGACTGTGGAGACTGGAGACCGAAGATCCGCGCGCGCTTGCCAAACGAAAATTTTGCGTAATAAAATAGAGTATGCGACAAAGTATCATATAGAATTATAGTATATATACTGCTTCATGATCAGTATTTCGCAATTTGGCATCAATTCAAGTATTCAACACTTATGAGTCTTATGTCTATGATTGGAAACCACAGAACTTGTGAAAACACTTGCACAATCATCGTTCAAATACACTCTCCCATTTTATAGGAATCTCAATTATAAGAATATCGACTTTGAAATCAGCGAAATTTTAAGAATTTACTAAATAATCAATACTAACATACCCAAGGTTGAGATTATTTGGGGATCGAACTTATTTAAAATTGAAACTATTAGCAAAGTATCAAACATCAATATTAGTAATGTTGTAATTAATTTATACGGTATATTTACAAGTTAGAAATAAACATGCTCCGCAAAATAACATCTTGTAAACTCAAGATATGAGTTGCTGAAACAACATCCTCGGTCCCAGGGCCGTCAGCCGTGAGGCCCTGGGACCGAGGATGCTGAAACAATTGAGACAACACTGAATTTAGGGCGAGGGTCTCCCTGGGAACAAGGCCTATTTTGCAATGAGGATTCGAACAATGGAACAAGGCCAAAAAATCATAGCCATATATAGGGGGCAGGGGAACAAAGCATATTACTTGCAATGGGAACAAAGCCAATGAACTGTATAGGGAGTTACTAAAACATGGAACGACCCACAACGACCCACAACGACTCCACAACGACTCCACAACGACCCCACAACGAGCCACGACGACCAAAAAACCAGCCACAACGATCCACAAGTTCACAAGTTAGTAGTGGGTCGTTGTGGATCGTTCCATGTTTTAGTAACTACGCGTTGCGGGGTCGTTGTGGGATCGTAGTGGGTCGTTGTGGATCGTTGTGGGTCGTTCCATGTTTTAGTAACTACGGTAGGGATCACATGTGAGCTGGTGGAACAAGGGAACATGATGAATCTGTGGGGAACAAGTGGAACAAACAAAAAATATACGGGAGGGAATACGGGAACACGCCTTCCCCCCCCCCACCCCCCTCCCCACGGGAGCCCTCTATGTGGTAATTTTCGACTGTATTTCGAAATACCGCCTTGAATTTTGTTGTCTCAACCAGATTCTGTAGGTCATACCGTATCTTGAATTTACAAGACATTACTTTTCGGAGTGTTTTATCTTGTATTTACATTAGTCATTACCGCTTGGACGTTCTCTATTGCTATTAAGATACATCTTACACTGTAAAATGTACATGAGACATTCCAGCTGGTACTCATAACGCAACTTCCTCGATTTATTTCTTGGTACCATCCCATAATTTCCTTTATTCATCGCACTCCGCCCTCCCTTTGTTGGAACTTTTTCCCGTTCTTACTTCTTACCCTGCTTTTTTCCCTATTTCACTCTGCAAAATATGTATAGAATTTACTCAAAACACCAGGAGTGAAAGTGAAAATGATGTTAATTAAACCAAATTGCATATTTACTTTCAAACAGGAAGTGTAACTCAAAGTGCCGTACGCGTTTGCCAAAGCCACGTTCAAAGCCACCCCCATGTGGAATTCTACACCAGTAAACATTAGAAAAAGGAAAATACTATCAGGTTTTCAAAGGAAATCGCTTTTAAAACCACACGTCACTCCTCCTGGCTAAATATTTTACGAGCTTCCGGCCATAGACCTATAGACTTTAATTATATATAGTCTTTGACCTGTGGTCTAATATAGCAGAAAACTCGTAAATAAAAATATTTGGTCTGAGAACATTGTGATTCTTTATGTATAATCTTGGCCGCGCATCGTTCACATTCTTTACCTAAAATTTTATATCTGCTGATCTGGATGCTTATTACAGTAATTATTTAATACACGCCCATTTATGGAAATCAGCTTTAACTAACAATGTTAGCGTTCTTTATCATTCATTCAAATAAAGTTTATCAATGATTACCAGTGAGCTCTCTGTATAACTGGAGCAAGGACTTCAGGATCAGGTTAGGCAAAAAAAAAATATGTGGGTTTCCGGTTTCCCGACCCTACCTAGCTTTTGGCCGTCGAAATCCCGACCCTAAACTTTTTTATTGGATCATGGTTATAAGTGTTTCCACTTAGAGGAAAAAGTTTGTGGAAAATTGAAATTTGAGGCAATATTAGGGAAATTTATCTTTGTATGTGGAAGCACTGACTAAACAAAATGGCGTCCGCTTGTTCGGAAAATTTAAAAAAAAGTTAAAAAAAAAGAAGTTAAAACCGACCTACCCTACCTAAGTTTTTATAAGAAGAAACCGGAAACCCACATATTTTTTTTTTTGCCTTATCAATAATGTGTACATGTCTGTATGATGATATACGTCATACATAAAAGTGCACCTGTATGAAATGTATGATGATATACGTCATAGATTCAAGGATGATGGTGTATTGACTTCTGGTATTCCAATTCGTCCTCTTCATTTGTATATATGATGTGTATCATCATACGGTCATCCTTGAATCTATGATGTATATCATCATACAGGTGCAATTTTATGTATGATGTATTTAACAAATAGATTTTACTGTTGTCTGTTCAGTCATAGCATGGATACACAGTATGACGTCATTATGTGGGAGGAACAAAAAAGTGGGCACGAGCCGCCGAGACGAGTGGGTCACTTCTTGGTTCTTCCCACAATATGATGTCATATACTATAATAAAAGGAAAACCCCCGAATTAAACAGGTAAATAGCTTACATTTTAACCACCCAAATATTTGGAAATTTGAAAAAGTCGAAATTTTACAAACACATATCACGCGTGCATGATCTATACAAACTGAAGGAATGCTATTGGATAAAGTTTCGTGTGCCGTAATTCCGCGCGTCTGTCCTAGATCACGACTCCCGACCAATGAAAGCGTTTGAATTCTTAACGTTATTATATAAATCATCATACAGACACATTGATAACCTGACCCCCACTCTAAACCCCCACTCTAACCGCAGGCACCTAACCCATCTAACCCCTCACCTTCATGGGGGTGAAAGAACAAAAAAAAACTTCTCAACCTGGCGCGACCTACCTCCCAGAGGTGTGCAAATCCGATCTGATCCGAATCCGATCGGATTTCGGAACAAAAATACACATTCCAGATCGGATTGTTTCGTAGTCGGACCGGACTTCGATATTCGAAAAAAAATGAATTAATTATCCACACATTATTGCAAGAATTAATTGTCCATGTATTTATCAAAGCATTATCGCGGTTGTCGCTGCATTTTTCGTTTGATACTTCAATTGGACGTCACTTTGTCAGCTTCTTGACATGTATTTCTTGTTTTTATATTTATTTGGTTAAACATTTCAACTTGAATGAGAAACTTATTTTGTTAAAGGATTCTTCGGATCGGATCGGATTGAAATTCTTTATCACAACTCGGATCGGATTAGACAAATTCGGATCGGATTTTAAACATTAGCCAATTGTCGGATTATAAACGTCCAATCCGATCCGATGCACACCTCTATACAGTACCTCACTTCTAAGCTTCTAAGGTGATTTGTCTTGGGTGTGCTTGTGAAGTATGAGTGTATGAAGATATACACAGGGCCGTCCTCAGGAAATTCTTCAGGGGGGGGGGGG